AAGGCTGCGTCCCAACTACACGAGACGCGCGCCGCGACTCCAAAAATGTTGGCTGGTCCGTAAATCCACCTGCCTCAGACAATCAAGGGCGAATCCCCAGGTCCTGTAGTTCCTTGGGTGAGGCTCCCCTCAGACTCCAAAACCGTTCGAGATTCTTAACTGTGTATGTAATGCTGCGTGAACAGCTTGGAGATGTCTCAACTTAACCGACTACGCAGCAATCACGCTGCCTCGCTTGTCCGAATGCGAGGACCGAAACCCTAAACCCAAGCCCGAAACTCAACATCTCACAGTGAGTTGCGGGCTCCAGCCTTGGCTGCTAGCTATGCTTCGTCCATCTTTAAACTCCCTGAGAAGAGGACCGGTGTTTCAACACCAGCCCAAACATACATAAACCTCAACCTAAGCCGTAGTTCAGCTGAAACCCTACAGCCCAAGAGAAAGCAACCCTGAACCCTAAACCCCACCCAATGGCTACAGCGTTCTGGCTCGAAACGCGTTTGTGTGTGTTGAGTGCTGTTATTCAGCTGGGTTCAGCTAGTATGCCCCGAGAACTCCTCTCCCCTGAACGGGTTGCTGAGCTTAACGCTGAGTTGGGCATTGATCTTAGAGTGGTTGAGGCTGCAGCTAGGAAGAGAGCTTCTTTGAACCGGCCCTCTCTCCCGAGAATGGAAGTCCCCGCTGCCGCTGCCAAAGCCGACAACCCCACTCATTTCATGCTGCCGACAGTAGGACGTCACACCCAAGCTCTTGAGGCAAAAAATGAGCCCCGCATTCGCAAACCCAGTCTTCAAGAGACCCCGGAATTTAAAAAGGCCAAAACCGAGCCCTGTGACTCAGACATGCCCGAAGTCGAACCCGGGGAACCTATTGACTCCCAAAACACAGTTGACACTAGCATTGATGTTGAGATTCCTACATCCCCCCACTTTGCCACCAAACCCCCAGTGCCTGAGTTTGACCTCACCCGAGACGACGACGACGAAGAACAAGGCGAAACAAAGGTTGAGCAGGGTGCTGTTGACAAAACCAAGTCAGGTGATGAACTTGAGGACGCAAAGACAGCCCATGCCACTGCTGAATTAGGTGCTTCTCCCGCTGCCGTGCCTGCTGCCCTGCCTGCTGCATGCCCTGCAACCACCAATTCATTTGCTAATTCAGGTTTAATTTGTAATTCTGGAGCAAGCAGCAATTCAGGCGCAAACAAGGTTCCACAAGCTGTTCTTCCTCCTCAACCTGGAGCTGGGATTAAGAAATGGGCGGGCCTTGATGTGCCCCCTGAGAACAATGTAACACAAGCCCTTTATCCAGGAACAGGCACCACTGCGTATCCTGAGATGATGCCCCCTTGGGTTCAGGAAATCATGGTGGGTTTTCAAGGGCTCCATGGGAAGGCTGACAGAATTCATCAGGAAATGTGTGCTTTCGGACCCGAACTTCAAGCTCATTCCACACGATTGGATTCGCTCGAACAAGTTGCAAGTGAACACACTTCTAAGCACATGTCACATGAACAACGCATCAAGATGCTTGAAGCTAAAATCGAGAGCCTCTTGCACGATAGACCCGACAATCGAGGTAGATCCCCGAGCCGCACTGGTCTTGGCACTGGCAACCGGTCTCCCTCCCCAAGATCTCCAAGATATACCCGAAACGAACCGTTTGGTGAGCCTGAAGACCTGGACATAGTCATTGGAGGCTGGAGTGATGCTAGGAAATCAGATGCCATCGATGAAGTCAAAAATATCTTTGGGGTCATTCAACAAGCATCTGCGATCGAAGATGTCTGGTGCCCCTACAGTAGGACCAACTTTGCTAAAATCAAGCTCTCCTTCCCCGACCCACAAGCCACCATCCAGGTCCGAAGACAGTTTCAGATGTCGATCGTATCTAAGATCAAAAATAAAAATTTCAAGAGCGGAGTGCCTGGAAGCGAAGGGGCGCGCATATGGGCCACGAAGAGCAAAACGCCAGAGGAGAGAGCAAAGATTCGTGCAGTTGTCTTGACAAAAGAATTTTATAAGAATGTCCGTCATGCTGGGGCTGCAAAGTACACTGAGGACCAGATTGAGATTTCCTGGACAGGAAAAGTGTATATTGACAAGTTCCAGCTTTTGGGGGCTGTTGAGAGAGATGGGGAGCCTCAACCGTGTGATGTCTGCATTGAGGATTCCAAGGGAAACCATATGAATTGGTACATCAAAAGCGACATCTTCAGTTTGGTTACAGGACATCCTAAAGAGTCCCTGCAAGACATTTGGCTTGAGACAGGGCCAACATCAGCACATGCCCGAGCAGAGTCGTGACTACAAGCACTCAGGCCCGAACTTTTCTACGCGTTGAGCTGGAACGTTCAAGGGAAAAGCCTTGAAGACATTCAAGATGCATGGCCAGCCCTCAATATGGAGGGCCTTGACGCTTTCGGAATTCAGGAGTTGGGGGGATTTGCTAACCTTGCGAAACCTTGGACAACTACGACTGTTGACCTTGATGGTCAATGGGTTTTCTATGTTACGAACCCGGTTTTGGCATTTCGTGCAGTGGCTGTAGGCCTGCCCACACGATTGATTTCAAAGGTAGATCATGTTACGGCCTTTTCCTGTGGCATCTGTGTAACGCTTAAGATTGATGGCTGCAAACAATTCGTAATTAGTGCACATCTTCCTCATCGCCAAAGGCAGGATTGCATTGAAGTTTGGAATACTTTCAGTCAAGAACTAGAGCATATCCTCCGTACGCGACGGCATATGGATTCGGTTGTAGTGTCAATTGACTCCAACTATGAACTTGGGCCCATTGAGCATCTCCTGGACCCCAATTCAGTTGACGAAAGAGGTGCACTAGCGGGGTCTATTCTGCGGCAGCATGGCTTTGTCCACACACGTCCTTCTGATTTCACTTGGACCAACTCCAGAGGGTCGGTATCTAAAATCGATTACGTTTGGTTTGGAGGCCCTTCACTAGATATAGTTGATCAAAGAATTTTCCTGGATTCCCATTTGACCCTAGGGTGTGACCATAGAGCAGTTATGGCATCTAGTCCCCTTCCAGGTCTTGAAAGAAGACAACTTAAAAAACGTCGCCGCACTGTCAACAAGTGCGGACGCTGGCGAGTTGACGTTGTGAAACTTAACCAACTAGCTGGTGAGCTTGCAGAGCGCCTGGATCTTGCTGAGTCGGATCTCACTATTCTTAACCTTGAGGAGCTGTCCAATGCTGTTTCCCAACGCCCTGAAAGCCTCCGCTATAGAGATCCTCCCTACATTCTTGATATGATCAAACGCAGGAGGTCCCTCAAAGGTGCTGAAGCCAGAGCCCTTGCACGTGATATTGCCGTTTCGCGCAAAGCAGCTAAAGCTTCCTGGCTGACGAGTATTTTGGATCGCTCTGCCAAAGGCGATTTCTACGCGATCTCTTACTTCAACAGAAGACAAGCAGTTATTTCGACCCACACCAATTATATAGTCAGAGCCGGGGGTAAACAGAAAGCAATCGCTGACCTTAGGAAACACTTCACGCTGAAGTATGTGCCTTTGGACGTCCAACCCCCCGATCTCCCTCAGGCCATTTTGTGTTCGGTTGACCAGCCAATTCCACCCCCTCCCTACATCACAGTTGATGAGATTCGCACGGTTCTTGATACTTGCAAGACGGGGAGATCAGCAGGAAATGATGGGATCTCTTATGAATTCCTCACGGCCATTGCAAGTTCTGAATTAGCTCCACATCTTGCAGAATTGTTTAATTCAATTCTTTTTGGCTCTCTCCCTATCCCAGATTCTTGGCTACTTTCACGTCTTACATTTCTTCCGAAGGTCCCTCTCCCTACCTTTCCCAGTCATCTCCGACCAATTGTTTTATCTTCTACTCCTGGTAAAATTTTCACTAAGATCCTTCTTTTCCGTCTCCGTCCTCATTTTCCTTTGCCTGTGGCTAATCAGCTGGCTTGCATTCCTGGTTCTCAGTCTTTGGAGGGCTCAACTTGTCTTCAACACGTTGTTCATCTGAGCCAGGAGTATGGACTGCCCCTTGTAGCTATTAAATTGGACGTGGCTTCGGCTTTTGACCATTTGTCCCATTCATCCATCGCACGTTTCCTTGCCCAGTGCGGGGCTCACCTTGAGTCTCATGTTCTCCTTAAGATCATCGTCCTCTCTAGGGTCCTTGTCAGCATCAGCGATGTTTCCTGGGAACAACAACTACTGAGAGGGGTTGTACAGGGGTCATCTTATTCTGCTGAGATTTTCGCAAGGACGGTAGATTATTTCCTGGGCTTTTTAGTCGCTAAGTGGGTTGAATCCGAATCTACCTGGGTTCAATCCATGGATCCCAATGGGACCTTTCACCGCCTCTTTAATTTGTTGTACGCAGACGATATCATATTACTAGCCACCGCGTACGAACAGGCTATCCGTTTACTTGAAGGGGTCATCGACACCCTTGCGTCGATTGGGCTCACTTTAGCACTCGACAAGTGTAAATTTATAGTTTCTCCTGATTTGGGTGTTCGCCCACTTATCGTCCGCGATGTCCATATCTGTCATGTCTCGTCGTTTAAGTTTTTGGGGGTCCTGACCGGGTTCGGTATTTCCTCTCAGGCGGTTCTTGGGGCCAGACTGACTCTTGCACATAATAGTTTTTGGGGCTATTATCGCATTTTGAAACGCAAGGGCGGCCCCATCAAGACGCGACTCCACCTTTTGAACACCTTTGTTACATCTAAGTGGCGTTGGCTTTCTCCTTGCGTTCGCCCTGTCACTATGGTGGTAAACATGCTGATGGTACTTCACACCACGCTTTTGACTTCACTGTGCGGCTTTCAGTCTGATCCTTTTCTCACTACCAGTCATAATTGGATATCTCGTCGTCGCGCTAGTCGCATGTGCGCCCAGGCGTGTAACCACTCTACTTGGCCCGGCTTTTTAGCTACTTCCTTCCTGGGTTTTGGGGGTCATGCGGCTCGGCTTTGGACCTATCGCTACTCCCCCCTTACTGTAGTCATGGGTATTCGAGATGGCACATGGTTGCAGGCCTTTTCCCTTTCCCATCGCCGGGTTCGAGGTTACTGGCCCAATTGCGTTCGCTTCCTACAATTGGCTTACGAATCTTTGAGGGAACCTTGGGAACCTGCTTTCTGGGTTGATAAGGCTCTGGATCGGCCCGCTTGGCTTTCCTTTACCCAGTCGTGGTTGACCTTCAAATCCTTAAGCCCTTCTAAGTTCTACTCTGACCTTTGTGATGTGGATTTGTATGGTCGCTGCTTACTTCAGGTTGGCGATATTTTCAAGCTTCTTCCCTTTCGTCATGTTCCCGTTGAGCCACCCTATGGGACGTCCTTTGAGGTTGTACCAGAAGCGGAAGCCGAGATTGATGCTGACTGTTTGCAAGTCTGTTCGGACGGTGGCTGCAAGCATGGCTGTGGCTCCCTTGCGGTAACGTTTCTAGCCCCCTATGCACCCCTGGACGACGCGGTAATTCTCCAAAGTCGTATTGAGGGTCAGTGTACTAACATCAAAGCGGAGCTCCTAGCTGCTGTACAAGCCTTAAAACATATCCGCACTTTTCTTCACTGCTTTCCCTCTATCCCTTTCCTTTATATGACTGACTCGATGTTGGTAGTTCAAGCTTTGGAAGAACTTGCTAACATTACTTGTCACCCCTCTACTGTCCACGAACTCATGTCAGTCTGGCGTCAAATTTGTCGTTTTGGTCGAGTGGTGCATGTTCGCGGACATAAAGGTCACCCACAAAACACTCTGACAGATCATTCAGCCACCGAGGCGTTAAAGTTTTCCCACACACGTTTGGTCTATCGCAAAAACGATTACAACACTGTTTACATGTGTAAGCCTTTTCATTCTCCACCACCATTCTGTTCGTGGCTCTAATTTGTTGTCCTTTCGGAGGGGGGGGGGGGCAGGACGTCCAAATAAATATGGTTGCTGCACGAAGCTCTTTGGCACACATGTGATGCATGCACATTGTGTTATTTTCAGTGCAAAAACTGCCTCAAACTGCCCTGTAGCAATTCCCCTCGCCTCTCTGTGCTCATCATGGATTCTCTTTTCCGGCCATTCACGAGGCTGTGTGAGATGATCTGTTGTGCAACCCAGGTGTCAGGACAGAATGCTGAGCTTGCTATCTTTGTGATTTGCATGGCCGGGACACTTGGCCTGCTTTATCACATTATGCAGACACAGAAAAGGCTGGCGCTGACGATCCATGCCATGCGAATCACGATGCAAGAGATTCAGTCTCAACAGCTGTATCTGCAACAAGCGCTGCACTCGCAGAACCAAGATTTGTCGTTCTATCAAGAAAAGCTTTTTGGCAAGATGGAGGACAAGTTCTTGGCAGAACTGTATGAGCAGTGCCAAGTGTTGGCTCAGTTCTTCAAGCCTGCAAACCTTGCCACAGCTGGATCAATGATGGTGCAAGACATCGTGACTCAAGTCACTGAGCTCTACACCCAGCAAGATGGCAATGGCGATGGAGATGGACAACAAGGGGACTCCCAGGCTACAAAAAAGCAACTCCTTGAGGTTCTCGCAAAGCTCGGCCAACTACAGACGGCCCAAGCTGAGATCACCTCTATCCACAAGCTGCTGAACGGCCACTCTGCAGATTTTGACAAGCTAAGTGCTATCGGCAACAGGGTCACAGAAACCCATGGCCTGTTGCTCCAGATCAATGGAGATGTGGCCACAGCAAAGGTGGTGACGGAGCAGACAGACAGACTGCAGAAGGTTTTGGAGCGAAAACTTGAAGACCTGACGGAGAAAACAGCTGTCATTCGGGCTTTGATGGATCAACACAGAGACAAAGTCATCTCCACGGTGAAGGATAACACAGGGTGGATTTCCAAGAATGTGGGGGATGTGTTGAGTCTCTTGCGCACGTTGGCGCCGATGCAGCAAAAGACGCTGGAGATGATGGGAGCTGGCCAGGATGGTTCGAGACAGGCCCAACAGACGCTCCTGTCTTGCGCGGAGGCGGTTCAGACGTGTGAGGATCGCCTTGTGCGCCTAGAGAGCCTTTGCACTGGCATTGTCGATCAACAGAATGAAATGGACCAAAGCCATCGTGGGGCCTTCGATTCCATTCTGCAAGAGCTCCCGACGCTCCAAGAGGTGCTTTCCCGCCTACCGAAACTCCCTGTGCGGAAGCCGCCCGCGGAGAAGGCAACGGAAGCCACTTCCAGCACATCAAGCCAGCAAGCTCACCCTACCACTCCGCCGACTACGCTTGGGCCACAACCGCCTCCACAAGTGGCAGCCAACCCGACGCCAACTGTCATCCCCGTGTCGATTGACACTGGGCTTCAGAGTGCAGCACCGAGTGGAGGCATTCAGCTCAGGTTGTCGGAACACGTGAATGCAGTTGCACCGCAACCGCAGCCGCAGTTTGTACTTGGTGGCGAAAGCAGGGCCCCCAATTTCCTGATCACGCCGATACCGGCACCATCCCCAACATCTGGGAATGATTTGCTTCGGGCCATGCTTCGCCAATGAGGTATGAGTTTTGTAGGGATGTAACTTTAGGCTTTGTTGCCATTATTATCATGTTTTCCGGAATGGAGCCATGAAGCAAGCCTGCAGCCTGTAGCCACAGGTCTTTCTGCTTGTAGCTCTACCAAAGTCACTATGGTACTAGCCACCTAATTTGTAATTTACATGCATGTATGAAATTTTGCAAGCCCTGCATACTTTAATTCTGAATTCTCTGCATTTTGCAATTTAATTTGTAATTTGTAATTATCTTGCAAGGACTGGGATGAAAAGCCCAGAATGTGTACATTTGCAGATATGTCAGCTCTTCGAGCAAGGTGGCCGCATACCACAGTTGAACACAGACGTTGCTCTTCCGAGTGAGCAAAATCCAACAGATGTTCTTTCGCAGTCAGCAGTGTGTCGACGGAGCGCTCCGCAGTGCGTGTAGCTGCTAGTCGTATCTAGGCGCTCCTTGGTTGTAGCTGCCCTGAGCCCCACAGTTGTCTGCATTGGGTGTGCAATATACTATTTGTACCTTGTGGCTGTCATGGCTTCAGCACTCAATGAACATGCAGCGAACTAGGTCACGATCCCCACCCCAGCCACACCGAGGGCCTGCCAACACCGAACACACTTCACATGTGCCCTCTGCCGTTCCCAGGGATGAAGCTGATGAACTGCCTGATGATGATGCTGAGGTTGTGACAGTCTCCGATGCAGATGAAGATGACTGTTGGCATGGGATCGATGATCAGTCTCGTCGAACTTTGGCTTTGGCGTTGGGAGTTGACCTTCAGGTTACCCCGGTTGAGACTCTGGCATATTCGCTGCTTTGTAAGGCCAAACGAGGGGTCACTTTGGAGAAATCTGACATTCTTCAGATTTGGGACTCCCTTCCCAGGAAGTTCGTGTTGCGAGATAGGGATGACCGACAAGCCAGAATGGTGGTATTAGGGGTTAACCCTCGAAACACCAAGACCTCTTCAGTTGCTACTGCGAACATGCCTCATGTTCATGATCTGTTGAAAGCGTACATGCTTCAGATCTGCCCTTCGTTCACTTGGACCTGCCTTTGCATTAGACAGAATTGTAGCAAGGAGCCGCATCGTGACACGAAGAACATAGGCAACAACATGATTGTCGCTCTCACGGAGCATCAGAACGGGGGAGGTCTTTGGGTGTATGACCAGAGTGGAACAGTTTGCCAGTTGTTTCAGGGTAGACAGCTCCCAGGTCGCATTGTTGATATACAGTGCCCTTATATCTTCCCTGCGCGTAACCTACTTCATGCCACACAACCATGGAAGGAAGATAGGCGAGTGGTTCTCGTTGCATTTACCCCTATTGGTAGCCTGGCACTTCAGCGCTCTCAAACTCCTCAACCTGCCCCCCGTCAGTCCCGAATTTCTGATTTCTTCAGTCTGTCAACGGTAACTGACTAAAATCCCTGAACACTTGTTGCCGACGATTTAATTTGTAAATTGGGTCTGCATGAACCGGCATGGTTTAATTGGTTTGCTTGAATTTGGAATTCGGAATTCAGTTGCTTTCGTCGGCTTTTGGATTGTGGGGTTTGGACCTTGCGATCTTGTTGGGCTGCCCTCACGGGCTTGGTGACTTTGGGAAGCTCGGTGCCTTGGCAGCAAAGGGTGTTGCCTCGCAAAAACCCGAAAAACCAGAAACAACTAATGAGGTTGTCCTTGCTGCCCACACCGACACGACCCGTTTGCGCTGCTCCCTATGCCAACTACCACTCCGGCTTCCATCCTTCCACACAGGGAGAGCTGGGTTCCCCCCTCATCCATTAATGGTGTAATGCTCTCTTTTAGATTGTTATAGTATTCCCCCCTTTGTCTTTGGACCTTGGTGGATTGGTTGAGTTCCCTTCATTTCAGGCATTTCGGTGACATTTCGCCATGGCCCGATGCCTCTGACCTCTGCTGGTGTATCTTGAAAGTCGCAATTGGCACGATGTTCTGGTGCAGCAAACATTTTGGCCTGGCTTATGGGATGCTTTTTCGGGCCTACATGATCAGCCATGACAATTGCCACTTTCTGGTATGTCTTTCGGAAGTCAATGGACTGTTGGAGCCACCGGTCTTTCAGACGACATAAGCAGCACCCTTGGGCGGTCCAAAAGATTATGGTTCTCCGATTGGGCAGAAGTTATGATATGGGACAGGAGCACTGAAACAAGTGACTGCCTTTGGCCGTCTCCGGCGAGTGGGTAAGCCACTCGTAATGGCTACATCTTGTGCTGCCGCTTCCAGTGTCTCCTTTTTTGCAGTTCTGCTGAATCAGAAAGGAAATAAAGTCATCTGCCTGTGCTTTGCTGCTTGAGTCACCCCAAAAAAGTTCAATCCGCGTGTGCGCTTCACATCGCTGCTGGCCCGGATACGCGGGGCCTTGGGCAGATGATGATGCCGTTCACGCTGGCGACTGCTTGGCAAGACTCTTTGTCTTTGGAGCTCCATAGACAGATGATGCTAACGCTCATGCTGGCAACCGCTGAGTCACTCCTTGTCTTCTGAGTTCTGTGCGACTTGTACATTGTGCGCTGTCAATGCATGGCTTGCAAGACTTAATTTACTGCACTGTTGTAATTTGTAATTCGTAATTCGGGTTCTCTCATTTGCAAGTGAGTCGGCATTTTGCTGCAGTGAGGTTTTCTTCTGGGAATCTGAAATAGATTTCGTTTTTGCGAAGTGTCGCTAAATACTAGCGCGTGTGGTTGATCCTTTGTTGTCTGTCATCGAAAGGATGACAGCTGGCTTGTAGTCCGGGTTGGTCACACCAGGTCCCAAACCCTTAGGTTTTCTATGTGTACTCTAGTTGGGACCCGTGATCTGCCTGCTACCTGTGATGTTGAATTTTGGGTGTCGGTCCACTAATGGGTTCATTTATGGGCTAGTCTGGAGCGGCATCCCTTTCAACATTATGGGCTCGTTTTGTAGTGCTCCCCGAACAACCTCGCTTGTGGGCTTTGATCCTTTGCCATGCGAGAGGGAAAAAACCCCACCCAAAAACGGGAGAAAGCAACCCGGGAGCAGTCTCACGAAACTTGTCTTTGCTTTGCCGTCGTGCCCGCTCTTGTTGTCGGCTCGAAAGCTGCAAGACAATTCCAGCAAAAGCATCCAGCACCCCGAAACTTAGGAACGTGGCCTTCTAAAACAAGGGGGTCAATGAACCAATTAAATACAATAGTACCCGTTTGTATATCTGTATACCGCGCAGCTATATAGACGGAGAGACAGAAAGGCAGGCAGGCAGGCAGGCAGGCGGACAGACAGACAGGCATTAAATACAGCATAGTGTAGTGAACCTTCCCTCGAAGCCTACACCTTACAGACGCTTGCATCCGTAAATCCACCAGCATTGAAGCGTCTGGGTGGTAGGTCTGCGCGGTCTAGACTACAGATGCCCAGGTTTACATCCCAAAGTTGTTATGGGTATGGGAAGAGGGGCAACACCCGTGGACTGCGACTTGCACCGCATGAGTTGATGAGAACCCCGAATTTAGCCAGGACTGTAGTCAACATAAGGTCCGGGCAGGGGTATGAACACATTGCTTGCTGGCACATGGTCGCTGATCTCTTCTTCCGAGGCTGTGTTTGCTCTTTGCCGAGCTTCAAAGAATAAAGCAGGTCACAAGCGAAACAGAGGCTGTAACATGTCAAGAAGAAGACCCGGATGTTGGGGGTGCTTGGTAATAAGGTGTCACTGCGACACACTGCAGAGCTGCAAAGCTGTTTCAGAAGTCCGTCTGCTGCTTCGCAGCCCAAGTTTTCAGACAGCGGCGATGCAAGAAGTGCACATGTGTTCCTTCGAAAGGCCTCCCATGCAGTCTGTGACTAAGTAAGGGCCCCTGTAGTCCTGTAAGCTGTAAACTGCCATGGATTTAAGCGAGATTCTGGAATCAGCAGGGATGCCCTGGGCCATTGCCAGGGTGTGGCGAAACTGCGTGGGAAGTGAATCCGATATAGACAGAGTTGTTCGAGAACTGGCATTCCTCGCCCCTCACCCACCTGGCACGGATCATAGCAACACACGATGCACGGCAATCTGTATCGAACAACCATAGGACTCCTGTCTACGACTCAGCATACCCAGCAGCGACACTACGAGCAAGACTCTGCGTACCCAGTAACGACACTAGTACCGCAAGACTCCGCGGTACGAGCTATGCATTGAAAAGGATACGATACTGATCGCGGCATTCATGCTTCCACAACACGGAACCGCGGAGTCTATTCGTAATATTTGTCGCTGCCTCATGACGGAACTATCCACAAGATACAAGTCTTGAGCAGGAAGTCATCTCCCGTGCACGCCGCGTGTCCCAGCGAATCCAAGGATTCCTCGAGCAGGGCCCCTACCAGTCTTGAGGGGTCGACCGGGGCTTATGTACATGAGGTATAAACTGAAGGTCTCATACATGTGTATACATGTGTATGCCTATGTATACGATATGTGTGCTGGAGTGTGTGTGTGTGTGCCTGTGCTTGTATTCTATATAGATGTGTGTGTGTGTGTGTGGGTACGTGTGCTTGTATTCTCTCTCTCTCTCTCTATATATATATATATATATCTGTGTGTGTGTGTCTGTATGTCCGTATGGATGGATGGGAGGGTGGGTGGATCGGTGTATGGGGCGGATGTGTGGATGGATGCATGGATGGAGGCGTGGATGTAATTGTGTATGTGTGTGTGTGTCTAATATATATATATATATACACACATATATATATATAGTACGTACATACATACATACATACTTACTTACTTACATACATATATGTGGATGTTAGCATGCATGTATGTATATGTATATGCATTTCTTCCATATTCATATGCATATGATCTGCATGTGTATGCGTATGTGCATGTGTATGTACGTATGCATGTGTCTACTTCAATTTCCGTTTTGTTTGCTGTGTACCTGCACAGATACAGCTTCTCATGCATTAGCAGCAACATACATCTATGCCCGTATAAACAAACTTACCCTGTAAAAGCCATGAGCTCTGCACTAAAGCCCAAAGAGGGCAAACTACCGATTGCTTTACCCTGGCACCCCAAACGCAGATCCTAAGCCCTAAGCCCGCAACCTTCAAACTCCCGATCCTGCACCAAAAGCTGTTACCCTCAAAGGGTGATGGCAAGCATACGAAGAGCATCTTAAACTTTAAACCCTACCACCCCCCTCCACCTCAGGTGCTCGCAAGATGAACTCAGCCCGGAGGAGCTGAAATTCCTGGGGCCATGGCCTGAGATCGGATGTGCCCTGAGGGGGTTTAGGAGAGTCTAGGAGTCTAGGGTTTCGAAGAAGTCCAGGTGTGAGTAAATCAGAGTTTCTAAGGGTCGAGTGCCTACCACGGATCAGGGTTTATAGGATCAAGGTTTAGGGGGTTCAGGTTCAGGAGTTGATGGGGTCAGGATCATGGGTTTAGCGGGATTGAACCATGGGGTCACAGTGGTTCGAGCTCGGGTTGAGGCGTATTTTGGAGGTTCGCTGGATGCCTTCAGCGCACACATTAGTTTGGGATTTGTCAGCTCCATGTACTGTCAACCGGTACTACTGACACTTCCTGGGCATCCATCTGACCATGAGATATTGTTTGCTTCGATAAAGCTACTCGATATTGGTACAAGAAAGCAGGCACAATAGAGCAGTCCAGAGCTCAGTCATAACCCCTGGTAAAGTAGTAGCAGTCGTATGGCAGCCCATCTCTTCTATCCCTGAAAGCACTTCAGTGATAGCCGCGTGTCTTTTCGATCCAAATCCAAATCCCGCCGCAGCATGGCGGCTTCAGATGCCGCCCCATCAGAGAAGGTGTTTGCTCGGAGAGAGTGGGTTCTTGCGCAGGTGCTAGAGGGTCTTGTCTGTTGCGACGCTTGCACGGAAAGCTCTTTCGACCGCAGCCTCAAGTTCATATCCCACCATGAGTTGGAGGCCAGGATATTCCGCGTTAATGGGACTAACCCCGTTGTGCACAACAAGGTCTAGGCTATGAGCTGGACTGGCTTGGATTGCTCGTGCGAGACCACTCCTTGGGGACAGCTGGAGTTCTCTAGGCTTCCTTGTGCATAATTAGTAATAATCGAGAGGCGCTCTGGGTATGCATGTAGGTATACAGCATATGAGTTCAAACTATATAGGCAGGTGCCAAGATAGATAGATAGATAGATAGGTTGATTGATTGTTTGTGTGATCGACAGATAGATAGGTAGATACGCAGCTCGGTAGATATGTAGATTGATGGTTAGAGAAGGGCAGGCAGAAGTAATGGATTAGATAGATGGATAGACAAGGCATACTTCTTTGATCTTGCCGCTTCCAAATAGCCCTGTGCCTTCGCAGCATGGCATGGCAGCAGGCGGTTCTGTGGTTCGGGGACCGGGCCTGGCTGAACCCCAGCCTCAGGTCTAAACAGTACCCAGAACTATGCCTTTGAGCTGAATCTGAGTCAGAATGCAGAGTTATTGTCAAGTCTGGATGTGATGCAATGAGGATCTGAACAGTTTGGCTTGTTTTGGTTTCAATCTTATACTGTTTGGGGGATTGGCATTTAGAATCTAGAACTCGGGGCGCACGGTTTCGGAACCAGGTGCACGGTGCACAGGCAGAGTTCAGCCGAACGGTAATGGACTCGGATGTTGCCCTTGTGGTGGTGAGGAAGTGCTATAAGAATGATAAGCAAGGCAAGAAGACATGTGGGATTGCGGATGGAGTTCAGGAGTTCAGATGGTGTCATGGAGCCACGGTGTTCGCAAGCCCGTCCGGGTGATGCAGGCAATCATCACCTGGCGTGATGCTGCACTCGGCAGTTGGCTGGTGAGAACCACAAAGAGGCGGCTGCGGGACTTGGAGTTTTATGGCGTTCGCCTTCTTGGCTTTCGTCAGGGGCATGGAGGCCCTGCTGCTAACAGAGTTGAAACCAGGGATCCAGCTCCTAACACTGCTGGACTTCCTTTCTGGGCGTCTTTTGGGCAAACTGCAGAGAGTGATGCAGCGAGACACGATGGCCCTGACAGAAGACCAGCTCCGCCGGCCCAATAGCTAAAGTAAAGAAAACATAACCTCGGCCCTGAAACATCCTGGAACTCCTGGACCCTTCGCAATCCTAGACCCCATAATTCGAGCAAAGAGCGGTTGCCCGCAGGTTTGCCAGTGCCGATGGGCGCAAGGAGGAGGAGTTCGAGGCATGCGCTGCTCTGGAAAAGGAGGTTTGGGTTTTGGGGCCCTCTGCAGGTTTGGGACTTCCTTGGCTTTCTCTGCATCGGATATCAAAAGCCAGAGTCTACAGGCCGTTCGGCACATTGAGAATTGAGAGTCTTTAGCCGGAGGGATTCAAGAATTACCTGTTGTTCTCATTTGTCTTCTTCGTCTTGCTTGAGCAAGTCGCGTGGAGACAGCACGGTTGCGAATCGGCCTATCCATGCTACGGGCTTAGCTGTGTGCCTTGCGAGGGGTGTAGCAAAAAGGATACCCTAAGCCCTTTTAATAAGCCCTAAACCCTATAAACTGGCTCCGCTGTTCAGATCAAAGCTCCGGGAACCAAAGTGCCTTTGGTTTGAGGTGAAAGCAGCACTCTCGAAGATGAAATCTGCCTTTTTGGGGGTCCCGGGTCTCGTCAGCTGGTTCTCTTAGCTTTCCACTGCTTTGAGTAGTCGACATCCGTGGCACTGCCTGACCTGTGAGAGCCTAACCGACCTAACCCCTTCCGATAGCCCATTCTCAGCAATGATGTCCATAAAACTCCGTAAAACCTAAAAACCGTATAGACTCTAGAAGGCTTCAGGGGCTCGGAGGCTTTAGGGTTTCCAAATAAACCCCACCAGCCTGGAATGATTGCGCCCTGCTTCGACTTGTTTTCTTTGTCAGGGCGCTTGTTCGGAGCTGCTGTCCCTGACCCTGGCAGCTTGTCGATGTTTACTTCGGTATACGCACACTACTACTAGGTTACAGCTTGTTGGTGTTTCAGAATCCTCGGAGGAGCTTTGGGCGGGGGTCCTCGGGAACTAGGGCTGCTTTAGGCGAGGCCTGTTAAGTTTCAAGGTGCGCGAAGGACCCTGGAGAGGCATCTGAGCTGGAGCCCGCGCTGCCCTACGGCGATAGGAAATGGGGGGGCAATTACTACATCGACCTTCTATCATCTTGTAGCGACATGGCAAAGTGCTCGACGCTGCAACCCTTACCCCTCAATCCCTTACAGACCCTAAGAGCAATAAATTTTAAATAAGCACAAAACCTCGCAGTAACAGAGTTGCGAGATCTCTCTGTGTCTCAGTGTTCACGTCCTGGCAACGCTCTAAAATCAACAACACCCCAGACCCTACACCATAAGCCCTGGACCGCCGAGAGCTCTGGTTTTGAGCTCAAAGCTGGTGGTTTGAGGCAGGCGCTCCCGCCGGTGTTGCCCTGTCCCAGCCCTGGGAGGCGGGGCAAAGGGCGCGACAAGGCTTGCGGGGCATAGTTTGGGGTTGTCTGCAGCGTTGAGGAAGGGAGCTTTTAGGGCTGAGGTTGAGGGAATTCAGCCATCAAAGTAGCGCGTTTCCGCACACAAGGTGCGGGAGACAAAGTTGAAGCCAATACTTGCGGACTTGCTGTCCGACGATTGCAACTCCATATCAAGACTGGCTGGCCCTAAACCCAAACCCCTGAACTCAGAGAGGAATTTGCCGGTGAGATGCGCCCGCCGGACCATCCGGCCCAACGTGTGCCTTCGAACCTACAGCGATTCGCGGGCAACTACATGCAGCTTCGAAGCACAGTAGGGCCTTCAGAATCAGAGCTTTTCGGCCCCAGCATGCCCCGAAGTTTGAGATTGAGGGAGGGTCGACGGAGGATCCTCTGGTTGCATTGGCTACCCTTTTCACGGTAACCTTCCCGTTTCGGGGGTGCCTGTCTCTCAACCCAACAGCAGGTCCTAAGCATCCCGAAGTGCACACGCGCCGCAAGTGAGGAACCTTCTCCTGGTCACGGCGGCCTTTGCATCGGCCTCTGTGCGACCCTTCTTCGTGACCTTCTGCCTCATCGCCAAGGCCATTTGGATCCCGAATGTCGGTAATATATAGGGGCCTTAATAATTAGAATAGGGTTTAAGGGGTATATTCTACTATAATTATAATAAGGAAGCCCCAAAACCCTATTCTAATTACTAGGGCCCCTACATTAGAAGGGAGAGAGAGTTCCTCTGCATTTGGGTGCTCGGCAGTGGGTAGCTTCATCCCGTCAGGTCGTCGTTCACAGAGGGGTTGGAAGCCTGAAGCGTGGAAGGGCCACTCCGAGCACAGCTTACAGACAGAAAAGCGCAAGCCAGAATCCAGAATCAGAACCACCAGGCCTCTCATGTGTATCGTGTTGCTACGCGGCGTGGTCGGCAGGGATATTTATGGGTCTATAGGCGACCCCTGCGGCCCAGGCCATAGCGCTTCTAGCTCCCCCTGAGATGTTCGATGTCGACGTGCTCCAGGGCAGCTTGCTGCAAACTGTTTCAGGAGTTTTGTTAGATTATTTAGAGCAGCCTTATCAGCATACCCCGCTCCACTCACACAGACAATCATCCCGGCACTGCTTACGCACCCGCCTCCAAGCGCCCGACTTCCCCAAATCCCAAACCAATCGAAGCCCGGTCGTAAAGTGATCTCAACCATAATCCGCACATGAAAGCAGTAATCCTGACCCACTAATGACCCCAAACCAGAACCAGGTAAGGCCGCTGGAGGCGGCTACCGCGCTGTTGGGGGTCCCTGGTTGCGCTGTGGCCTCGTGGCTTTGGGCCATGCAGGCCTTGGCGCCACAAGCGTCTTCACCTCCGCCGGCTGTCGGGGTCTTGTCGTGGGAACCGCCTTAGTACCTGGGCCTTCGTTACAAGTTGAGAGTTTGCATGGATTAGTCATCTTGGAAAATGATATGCCCACACGCGTGCGCACAGTAGATGAAAAAATACTAATAAGACCACGATACTAGTAATAACCAACAATCGAGACTCTTCTGCAGATTACGGTGCCTTTTTAATTGTGTAATCTCTTTACAGTCTATGAATTACGACTTGAGTCTTGTCATCTGCAAGAATTTCAGAAGTGTTGTTCGCGACCAGCCGCGGCTGTCGAACTTAGGTACTGTCGCATGCCCTCTTCCGCACGCGGCCATGGACAGAGGTGGCCAAGGAGCGACTGACGACCCGGCTGAAGTCCCAATGAAGTCGGACGCGGGTTATTTGTACACGAGCATTGGGGAGACATGTATCATGATCAATTTTATTTAGTAGGGTTTAAGATGGTCTAACTATTGTAACGATGAGGACCCAGTTGTCGTTTCAAGGTTGCGCACCTGCAAAGATGCAGATGACAGAATCCGTATGCACAGGCTCGAACTCGCAGCGCAGGGACGGCTGTCAAAGAGCTCTGCAAGTCTTGCAGGTGACCAGAATCAGAATTACGGCAGGCTTGGCTCTTCGACCCTTTTTCTACACTCATGGAGGGCTTTTGGGGCATCTTAATCGAATTATGCACGCTCACTTACTTGGGCCGTCGCTGTTAGTTCCATTGGCAGCAAGCATCATCGTGTGGTGTTTGGGATGGGCAGTCGTACTTGAGCCTATGGAAGACAATCAGTCGAGGAGCTCCGGACGGGCTCGGTACGGGTATCGTATACAGGGTCACTGCAGCAACGGTGTACGGTCAAGTTGATGCTGCTATATTGCAACAGAATCAAGTCGATGTAGTCTATAGCATAGAAGAAAGCAACTGGACTGTAAAGACCTGCTGAGAGAGTGAGAGAGAGACAGAGAGAGAGAGAGATTGAGAGCGAGAGAGAGAGAGAGAGAGAGAGAGAGAGAGAGAGAGTGAGTAAGAGCAAGTAGCTCGCTGACCACATCGCCTGTCAAACCAGCTCCGAAGCTCGGAAGTCTCAGGCATGGTCAAGCAAGCCCTGTAAAGCCAGTCTGGACGAGGTTGCAAAAGCGGCTGGATAGTCTCATCCCGACGCTGAACCTCCTCTTGCGACGGACATTGCTCAGAGACTCCTGCGTGCAGCAGGCGGGCCAAAGAGATAGAGTTGGCTTGATGTACAATGGAGCGGAGTGCAGGCTTGTTGGACATCAGTTTTCTGTGTTTTGGAGGCTGGCATGGCTGGCACGATACGGTACTGAACGGTAAAACATGTCTGGCCCATGTTGTTCATAGCCATTTCGTGTGGTCCGGGAGGAGAGCTTTGGGGATTCAGGTGTTTGATGCCTGTCATCAGGAATATCGAGAGGGTCGGGTCAGTTTCTCGTTGCAGCGGCTGCCCGACCTCGCACTCACTTTTGTCCGAAAGGGTTCCCAGAATCATGGAAGGCAACACCTTCCCTGGATTCCCAATCTTGCTCGATAGACTGCTGTAAATGAGGCTGAGCTACCGGGTGATAGTTGTTGCTGTGCATCTTTCGAGCCTCAGTTGGGAGTGCACCTGCCTGGTGAATACGCCGGGGAGGGGATTTTTGCGTTGAAGAACCACTTCGTCTCCAGACTTTGCCTGGCTTGTTCGAGTGTGAGTGTCAAAATTCCGAATCTTTCTACGCCTAGCTACTGATGTCAATTGGCGGTATTTAAAGAAATACAAAAGGCAGTTGTTTGGCTCGAGATCTGTTCTGACCCCAGCCAAGCTGAAACGCACCAGGTAGCCAAACTTGTGAACCCGGACCTCAGGTCTGCAAGGCACATTTGAGAGTTTTCTAATTGGCTTCCGGGCAACAGGAGTAGCGAGCTAGGGGGCGGCTGTGCCGTAGCCAAGTCCGCCTTGATGAGAAATGCACGCAAGCACAGGCAGGGCCCGTCTTTTGTAAAGATGGCCATGAGCATGATGAACAATCATGGTGACGATTCAATCGGGCGAGTGGCTTGCAAGCTAAGTTCAGAACAATCCCCAGGTGGTCCAGAACACACAAGACTTGCTGTTCGATGTATGCAGCTTTGTCGATGCCTCGGGGGGATGTCTAGAAGGACATGTAGACGAATTTCGCAGGACAGAATGCAGCTGCGAGCCCAGGGCTGTGGATACTAATCCTGAGCTGGAAGACCAGTCAGCCTGAATGCGAAACTCGAAAAGCTTTGTGAGGAGGGTCTGGTTAGGGAGCGAATCATGAATAAGGCAGGGCTTACCTGACGAAAGAAGGGTGGTGCTGAGAGAGCGGGCTGCTGTTTGTCGGGAGGCTAGTGACGGCTAGTGTTTCTACAGACCCTGAAGTCGAAAGGAGTGATCGTTTCAGGGCGAAGGTCGAACAAGTAGGGCCAATGCCCTGTATCTAAAATTCGAAAAGTAAGTAAGTAAAGTAAAGTAAAGTAAAGTAAAGTAAAGTAAAGTAAAGTAAAGTAAAGTAAGTAAGTAAGTCTGTAAGTCTAAGTAAGTGAATATGCATGTAAGTAAGTAAGTACGTAAGTAAGTCAGTAAGT